AGGTGAGACTAGCCTGCCTTAATATTTCCTTATAAAGAACAAACTGGTATTTCACACGGTGCATAAGAGTATGCAATGTCTCTTTTGTTTTTTCAAGTCACATCATTTTATTTATTTTATTTAAATTCAATTAACATACAATGTATTATTGGTTTCAGAGGTAGAGGCCAGTGATTCATCAGTCTTATATCATACCCAGTGCTCATTACAACACATGCCCTCCTTAATGTCCATGTCTCTTTAAAGAAAGGCCTGCCTTCCCTAAGTACTATGCATATAAAGTGATGCCTAATAAACACAAATGATTAAGATTCTCCTAGTAATGAAAGAAAACTCACAAGGCACTGTTAGGAAGTGCTTATTAACAGTTTTTCATATTAAACTGTCATCCCAGTAGTTGAAATTTAGTGCCATTCTGTGATGTGGGCGGACAATTTTGTAAGATTCCTTAATAATTAATCATAAACAAAGGGCAATCAACATATTATCCCCTTTGTTTTCAGAAAAAACTGATAACAAGATACATTTAAAAATCTGAGGAAATTTAAACACTTTAAGATGGATTTAACTTTCATAGCTACATTGATTCCTCATTTTTTTTACTTTGTGTTTTATATTTCTTTCAGAGAAGTAATAATACAACATTTAAAATCTTTTCTTGACTTTGGATATCTCTTGGTGTTTATATTTCCTAAATAATTTCTAATTTCTTTGAAAAATAAACACCTTCTATAATTGACGGTATGGATAGTACTTCTGGCAAGAGTTAAGTATAAGAGTGCAACAGATCATAGCAAAAATTTTCATGATTCATTTTTTCAATTTATATAGAAGGAAGGTAATGACATGATTACTTTGGAAGAAGAAAGCATTAATATATATATCACATATTCACATGCAGTTAATAGTTTATGGTATTTGTCATGTTAATGAATTGCAATGCCTGTGTATAACTAGATAATTTTGTATAGATCCTTGATAATTGTAATGTTTATGAACGGTGCTGTGTTCTCTCATTTTCTCATCATTGAATCCCCATAGACCCGTGCATATACACAGATGGCCCCTTTCCTTTTACTTGCACCTATGACACTCATTTTATATGTAAGATCGAGTTGATATTTCTCCATCTGAATAATCAGAATGCAAAAACTTGACATATTCAGAAAATGTATTATTCAGTTTGCCCTTCCAATCTGAAGCTCTTAGACCCTTACCTCTTCAGGAAGAAATAAGGGCCAGTGATTATCAAAATCTGACACTAACAGCCTTGCCTCTGTCGAAACTTTTCTTTTTTATCTTCTCTTTCACACCTAAATAAGCTGAAAAAGCAATTGAGCCATACAATCAGACAAGACTTCATTGTCAATGGTGAAATTGCCCAGGAAATGAAAAAAAAAGAAACCTTTTGCTTAATAAATAACCCAGTAAACCAGCCATCTATGACATGAACGGAAACAGCTGAGCTGATGATTTTCTCCTTACTCTTGATGGTCGGCATCAATGAGTCTAATGATTACCATCTAATGTCTTTTCAGATTTCAAACCTTTACATATATGACACAGTGCTTTTGCTTGCTAATGCTTTTCATAAAAAACTGGAGGACCGAAAATGGCACAGCATGGCCAGTTTGTCGTGTATCAGAAAGAACTCCAAGCCTTGGCAGGGAGGGCGTTCCATGCTGGAGACCATCAAGAAGGTAACTTTTTTTTTTTTTTTATGTTACGTTGATCACCATACATGACATCATTAGTTTTTGATGTAGTGTTCCATGATTCATTGTTTGCGTATAACACCCAGTGCTCCATTCAATACATGCCCTCTTTAATACCCATCACCGGGCTAACCCATCCCCGCACACTCCTCCCTTCTAGAACCCTCAGTTTGTTTCTCAGAGTCCATAGTCTCTCGTGGAAGGTTGTCTTATAAAGGAGGTGGGTGCTGGGGGCTCAGTTAAGTCAGAAAACAAGTGTAGTGAAGGTAAGATAGAGAGAAATGATTGGTCAGATGGTGGGGAAATTGGAGTTTAAGATGTTAGAGGAGGTATGTGTTTGCATCCAGTAAATAGTCACTTGTGTTGGTTGTGGCCAGAATAGAAGTCAAAATCATCTCAGTAGAAATTGCAGTGACTTTTTCTTTAAATGCAGGGAGATAGTTTAGAATCACTGTGAGAAGAGGAGTCAAAGACCTCATGAATACAGAGTGACCAAGAGACCAGTAGGTGATGGCAGAATAGGACTATAGCATAGGAAAGAGTGTGAACCTCAAAACAGGATAGGCACTTCCCTGAGAAAGAAGTAATAGAAGGGGTAATAGAAATCTCAGAGAATGTCATCACCCCCTTTCGATTCCATAGTTTGGAAGGTGGGAATGAGAGGCAGTCATTTGTCGAAAACACCTGTCATATATCAAGGACAAGGCATTCACCTTTAGGAGCAGCACGGATGCTCAAGGTACATGCCTCAGAGTATGCAAAAGACACTGTGCCATGGCAGGTCAAGATCTGGATGGAACGCAAATTGCCAGGTTTCTCACATCTTGACTTCTGTCAGATATACCTGATGTTAACCTGACTTTCTTTTCTTTGTCTTCTTTTATTTGACAACTATTTGTCAAAAACCAAATGTGTGCTAGGCTTTAGGCTAAGTCAGGAAGAAATAAAGAAGGGAAACAAAAGAGCAAAGGGGACTTTGTACCACCATGAGCCCCTATCCGAAGGAACTCATATTCTAGTGTGAAAACCAAATTAAAAAAAAAATCTTACTAGTATGATATGTTGCAAATAGAGGCTTGCAACATGAGCATTATGGGAGTTGAAGAAGACTGCCCAATTAGCCTGGAAACAAGTGGAGTCCTGAGAAATTGTCAGGGTGGGATTCACCTAACTTGTGCCCTGTGAATTGAATATTAGAAGTTAGGTAGCTGGAGAAAAGTAAAGAGACATCAAAGAGTGTTACCCCAACCATTTTATATATAAACTTAGAGCAGTCAGTCAGAGGGAGAAGCCAAAGAGAGCTAGAGAGATAAAAGCAAGCAAATTTGAGGAAGTGAAGCAAGGAAAGATTGAAACAGGCCAGATTATTGAAGATTATTGAGAAAATGTCCCAAGGTTTTCCTTTTGGGTCTTTGAAGTCTAAATCAAACTGAATTTTGATTCATCAACTACTTTTATCTTCAAGTCTTCATTCGTTGCAGATTTCAGCCATACCCCCTAGTCTCTCTAGTAATTATCTGGCAGGGGAAGTACAGGGAGGTGAAGGTGAGACTAGCCTGCCTTAATATTTCCTTATAAAGAACAAACTGGTATTTCACACGGTGCATAAGAGTATGCAATGTCTCTTTTGTTTTTTCA